GGAAACACTCTTGCTTTGAGATATTGAGCATATCTAATCTCGTCAAGTGAGTGCATGCCCTAAATGTTTACAGCTTCAAGATCGTTGATAGCGTCCAGCCATCTGTCCCCCACTACAGTTTAAAGAGGACGACTTGCACCGGCTTGAATGGTTTTGCGCGCGACCTGTCGCGTGGGCTGTGGGTATTCACGCAAAAGCACGGAACCCAGTGTGACTTGTCCACTTTATACGATAGTGGATCAAGTTTGAGGACGGATATCCCAGCCGCGTGTGCTCCATCGGTTGCCGCTTGTGCAGTGTCTTGCTTAGGCTTCTAAAGACAGTTTCCACTTGTGATCCCCGTGTGTTCAGATTTGCCTGGACGCTGCCTCAAAGGCAGTAATAGACAAAGGTGAACATTCTGTCAAGGTGTTAAGTAATTCTATTTTCAAGTATGGAAATGGAGAAGCTAAAGATATTCGTCGACGACTGCCCCAATTTGTGCTTTTACACCACCGTGGGCGTGCCCATTTGGAGCCTTTTCAGGTTGACAGTACGCCGTGCCGGGACTTCGTAGCAGGGCCCGGCACGCGTTGGTTTGGAGGTTTTTGAGAAACGAAGTCCCCCATGACTTCGCGAAAATTTACGAAGTCCCTCTCGACGTGAAAATCAGTAGGGAAACCCTTATTCAACCAAAATAGCAACAAAAAGCGAAAAAAAGCGCATTTTGAGGTATGTAATATAACAAAAAAGCAAAAAGAAAACATTTCGAGTCGATTAAAGGCTCTGCCATTGGGTATAGTACCATTTTGATGCTGGGAATGTCGAAAATCTCCTAGGCCAACCAAATCTGTAGCCTCAACAATCCTGCGATGCATTTTTCGCCACATATTTCAAAGGACACCGCAAGTGATTGGAGCGCGATATCTATCAACGCGTAGGATTATACTACTTTTGACTCAAAAAAGGGGAGAGGCAACGGTTTGATCCGCTCTCTTCACTATATGATAGATTTTTGACCGTTCTAATCGTCCAAATCAAAAAGGTCCAAAACTTATGTGAACTCTCCGATATTTATGCTCCGAACCAACCCAGTTGGTTCGGTAGTTGGTCTAGAAACCAACAAATTCGAGAACGGATAATAGGACACATAAGTTTTGGGAACTTTTTACATAATATAGTTTGGAGTATCATTGTATACACATAGCCCAAATTCGGAGCCATGTGATTGGTGCGCTATAAACAAGCCATTTGTTTGTTTGAGTCTTGCATTTGAAATTCGCGCGCTTGCGAAAGAACACGTTCAACTCGTGAAACCTGACATGTTCGTCGTGATTTTTGGCGCTTCCTCCAGGACCTCATAAAAACGATGTCCCCGTTGCTTCTAACTCCAAAGACGAAGTCCAGTTCGACCCCAAACCATCGGTGCCGGGCCCTGTTCGTAGCTCGCAGCAACACTGTCCTTTAGCCTCTTGTGTTGATTAAGCTTCTTATACGTGGTACTAGCTTGCTTACCAGGCTCAGCTCGGCCCTGTCAAGAGACTTTGATAAGGGTCCCATCCCTATCCTTGTACACCCTTTCCCTGTGCCCACTTCTACGCTTCATTTCCCGTTCCCTGTGTTGTTTTCGAAATTAGCAAGCCCAATTACCCCCCTGTGCCAACTCCCAGCCCTTCAGCTCAAATTTTGAAAAAATCGATAAAATCGATAAAAGTAATCGATGATTGTGAAATCTAATATTGTGTTCGTGATCAGCATTCTAAGTCGCGAACTAGTCCTAGCGCGAACTGGCTTGCGCGTACTTGTTTGAGAGTAATTTTTTCGCATGTTTTTTTTCTTATTTTTCATTTCAGGCAGCAAGCCGTTCTAATGTCTATTTGACACATCATCGCCGTGAGCAAAGTCGAGAAAAGAATGGCCTTCTTCGTAGCTGCAGTGTTGGATATCATGGCTACGATTGGAATCGCATGTTTTCTTCAATGTTTTGTAACGAATTGACATAGTACTCTGCGTTGATACCACTGCTT